TTTTTTTTCTCTTGCGTCATCTCTGACCCAATGCAAACCACCATTTTATTTTTCTATTTTATTTTCCACCGTACAGTCTAGAGCTGATACAGTGCTCTTCAGCTCATTTATGAGTCTCTGGGTTATCCAGCACTTCATTGACCTTGGGTGGTGCTCCACCGCAAAGGGCAGGACCTGCGGTGCCGCTGCGGGTGACACCCACATTCTCACCGGCTATGGTCAAGGCATCTCCTTGGCCTTCGCGCCTATCTTTGGCTACGCAAGCGAGCGGTTCAAGAAATCATCCGTCCTTGCCTTTGCTGGTTTCATTGGTGCCATTGGTTCGCTTCCTTTTGCCTTCACTCAAAAGGCCCCTGCCGACAAGTCTAACTTTGCCTTTGTGACCTTGACAGGTATTGGTCAGATCGGTATGATCGTCACAGGCATGACTCTCGTCAACGGTGTCCATGTTGACCCAAAGTACCGCGGTAGTGTCGCCGGCGTATTCAGTTTCTGTGGTGCGATTTCCATCATGTTCATGGCGCGCTTGGGAGGATATCTATTTGATGCCTGGATGCATGGCGCGCCTTTTGTCCTGATGGGCATCGCGCATTTGGCGGTGGCCTTGATGAGTATCTATGTTCGCGCAGTGACACCGAGGTTGGAGAAGGAGGACGCCGCCCGATTGGAAGCCGAGCAAGAGAAGCAGGAGAAGGAGGCTAAAAAGGTGGATGAGAACCATCTTCAAGGAACACTTTTCTCGACTATGTAACACAACCCATAATTACATATATCTATTATCCTAGCCATCTTTTTCTTATAACAAATGTTCGCCCACCATGTCTACCATAAAGCTCTCTACAAGCATTGTTATTTCATCCACCTCATTGCGTCCTTTATTGCGAGCGGAGCAAAAAAACCGTATGCGTTTGTACGTTCGAGTGCTACACAGGCTTCTTGCTCTATTACTCCTAAACAATCAAAAACAGCGACGGCGATGGGAATAGCGGCAGCGACAACAACGACATCGACTTTGGTGCACAGAAGCAAAGACATTTGGGTATGAGATATGTACAATGCTGGCATGGTGTTTATTACAATTACTTCCCAGGCCAACCAGCAACCATAGCAAGCAGCTCGCCCCGGTGATCTGAGCTCCCACCACATCCTTCTTCGTCTCAAGTCAACTGCACATAATTCTCAGGCACCAGACCCTGGACCCCCTCAATCTCTCCCAAGAACCATCCCGGAAACTGCCTACAATGAATCCAAAGGTAATCTCCCTCCTTGAAACTGAGCTCGCTCGAATTTTCCGCATCAAAATCATACAGCCCACGTGCATGTCCTTGTGTCCGATCCCCATCCGACCTTTCTTCTGCCTCATCCTGATCTTCATACTCGTCCTCCGCTTCTTCATCGTCGCCGTCATGGACTTCGGACTCTTCATATTCGGGTTCTGGAGGGTAGTTCCCAAAATGATATGGGTGTGATTTTGTGTAGGCAAAGTCGCGAACGGCGACCACTGAACACGTGCAAAGGATCGACGAGGGACAGAACAAAGGAGGTGAGTCGACAAATCAATTCATGTACGACAAACAAACGACCATCGTCCAGTCGGATGGATCTCAAACACCCTGCATGCCCCTTCCCCACACTCTTACGACCACCAAGTCTGCAATCCCCCCTCATGGTGAGCTCTATCTCTTATGCAAAAAACTGTTTCCTCTTTTGAATCACATCAACGTGGCCACCAAGCACCAAAAGCATCCAACCCTGTTGTTCCTTACCAAGTTCGCGAAGTTCTTGATTGTCTTGATTATCGTCCTGTAAAAAAAAAAAATTACACCATGCAGCATGTGAGCAACCAGTGCGGGGGACATGGAGAGTAGAAAACAAAAAAAAAGCGCATGAGCTCTCAAAGTTAGCTTCAAGAACATCAAAAACACCTCCGAATGCTTCGGACAAACAAACTTCGCCGACAACAAGGAAATACAGGATACAGAACCTGCAGACCATGCAGACCATGACAATCTACTCTTCCCTCTTCTTCGCAGACGATTTTTTTTTTTCAATGATCTCAAAGATACAATACAATTAAACAAACATAAGCACGTCCGTTTGTTTAGTTGTTCCACAGCATAGATGAGAAGATGATGCATATTGATATGCATGCACATGCAGGTCCTCAAGGTCGTCGTGAGCACAACGCTCTTGCCATCGCTGTTCTTTCAAGTATACCATGCAGAATAGAAAAAGCGATGGAAGTGCAGAAAACCGAGAGCAATGCATAGATGAAGGAAAGGCGGTGTGATCAACAAAGACACATACCATCCTTGCTGCTTCCGGTACCTCGGATAATGGCCCTGAAGATGACGCGTGTGAGAATCCGTCCTCATTGTTCTGTCCCTTGAGAAATGCCATCAAAGAATTCATAAATTCCTGATCTGGAAGGTCTTTCTGCTCCAAGGTCCGTCCGGCTGTGGTCTTTACGGTTGCATCTTCCGGAGAATGCAGGGGCGGTATGGGGGAAGGAGAGGACGGCGTGGTTGCTGCAGAGGAACCGTGAGATCCCGAACGGAAAAACGTTGAAGAGACAGAGGTGTCTGAAGAATGCACCTCGTCGTCATCGTCATTTGATGACACTTTCGGTGTCGTAGACGATTCCTCCTTCGACAGGAATGCCCAGGATTCTGAAAGGGAGCGACTGTGCGAATTGGTAGGCAGCAATGAGATCCGCTTTGAAGAAGCCGAATCTACACAGAACACAAACACACGCAGAAAGCGCACATTATCATGAAGAAAACAGTTGCTCATTAATTTATGTTGTTCCTGGGAGTCCGTTGTTATTATTGTTGTTGGTTTTTGGCGGGACCACACACTGTAATTGCATTTAGGGCGTAGTTTCATTAAGCAGACAAGGTACGGAGGATTATTTTGTTATTCTGCCGGTTTAGTTCTGCAGCATCTTTTGGATTTCCTACCTTCGGTAATGTGGACCGTGGATCTTTTCTTAGTCAGCGTTTGCGCGGTAGAATCCTCGCTCTCCATTATCGGCGTGGTGTTGTCTGCCTGCTGTCGGGGTTGACATGTAGGGAGCGTAATCGGCGTCATAAACATTTTCTATGTAGCCTGTCCTGCGGTGTGAAATAAGGTGCGAGCGATGGTCTGTTAGTTGTGCTTTATAAGGAAGAGGAGGAGGAATGGGGGGAATTATGGTGTGGCTCTTGGAGTAACTGATGAACAATGGAATGTGAGGAATGAGAAGAATGGCGATGAAGGACAATGTCAGCCTACAAAAGCGTGAAGAAGCAACCCTTTTTTTTGTCGCATGGTCCATGGGGTAAAGTCCAGTGACCACCTTGAAAGTATGAGAATACCAAAGGAGCCTTGATACAATGGACTTTCGTCCAGGCACCCACTCTGAACAGAAGCATCAGGTCAAGCAAAGTAAGACTTTACCTGTGAGTTATTTAATGGCGAATGTATGCTGTGGGAGTAGGGGAGGAAAGGGGTGTCGAGAGAGGGAAGATGGAGGCGACCTCACTGGACAGAGGAACGAAAGAAAAAGAGCTGTCTGTAGTATCCCTTCACCTCCAATGAAAATCGGCAGATGAGAGCAGCAACCTTGCGAAACAAATGTGCGCTTGGGAGAATATTTTGGCCGCTGAGGAAGTCGTGGAAGAGCGCGAGGGAGAAATATCTCCCCAGGAAGCGAGCCGGTGACAGAGCTCAGACTGGTATGTAGCTCGACTAAATGCGCTTCCACAAAACCGTTTCCTTAGCTGTAGCACCAAGAGAGTCCGCCGAATACCCGTAGTGAGTGGGCACGCAGAGGAAGATACAGCCCACGGGGCTGAGTATAACACCGGAAACGAGGAAGCTGAGGAGGACCAGGCGGATAGCGAGGCCATGCCTACAGCAGCATCTAAGAAGAACTATGAGTATTTTACCCTATGGCTGAGCAAGGCGGACGAAATTTTCCACGGCAGCTATTACTATATCTAATCTTAAACTGAAAACTCTAATCACGAATCTAGGGCCTTCGATAGCGTCCTGTTCTTGCGCGATTCGTCGCCATTACAACTCCATTACTTCGGTCACAACGTCCTCCGGAATCTCAAGAGTAATTTCGCTCCAAGTACTGGCAGCATGTCGATGTCAAGGAGTCTTTGCAAGAGACTAGAGCTCTCATCCATGCACACGATGGCAGGCAAAAATTGAAAACTTAGGAAAAATACTGCAATCCATTATAGGCCTTGTGGGAGTGCGACTACGACCGTGCGATGGCCCTTTCAGGAGTCCTGAAGGCTCGCCCTGCGTCCACGAAGCAAGAGTTCCTTTGGCTCTATCTGACCAATTGCATCAAGCGACTACCCAGGGAATCCAAGAACACCAACGACCTCGAATGTGTCGCCACCTTCTCGAAGGAAGCATTGTAATTTACTGGCAAGGAGTTCGGAGCTGTGGTCGTGGCATTGGTGGGTTTGCAGGTGGTTACCAACAAGATGGGCGTATATGTGATGGCGAGGGTCGAAGACATCTTTGTCTTGGCACACCAGGGGGATGTAACGATCCTGAACAGCCTCCGCTCCCTCAGCAACATTGGTCATGATTTCCCAATGTGGAAAGCACTATAGAAGGCCCTCGAGTAGGTATCAAGCCCATTCTCGAGGTTACCAGGGAAGTTTAGTTCGTACCGGCAGCATTTTGACAAGTCATAAAGAGTACATACTATAAGAACTTTTCGCCATACTTATTCCATGAAGCCAGGGCTGTGCTGCGAACTGCGCTGTGTACGTAAATTCGAAACTGCAGACGATCGGTTCGAGCGCGCGTGAAGAGATACCTGACGCATTAACTGGCCTCAGCCTGGATTTGCGCATCTTCTCCGGGCTCATACCTTAGTCCGGAGCAGCACCTGCAGTAAGAATGTTTTCACTCGTCCTTCTCAGCGTCATCTTCGGACTCCTCGTACGTGCCTTTCTCTGCATCCTCACCTGCTACCACTGCTGCCGCTGCCTACGTGAGCCATGCATAGCTGATATTATTCGTCCTCGTATCGAAGGTCATGAAATGGCTAGCTGTGGTTGACACGTCAGGTTGCTGTAGGATACCTCGGTCTATGGAGTAAACGTGTCTCTCTTTCAGCTTTAATTTGAACTGGTGTCAACAACCATCTACTCTTCCATGGCCAGTTCGATCCAGTAACGCTTTATGATGCCTCAAAATCTCTGTTTGTGTAAAAAAAAGCAAGAAAGGAACTAGACCTGTAAGTATCGTCTCTCCGACATTGCCACCAAAGCAGCAATGGCATCGTGTTCCAGTATTCTTACTGATAAACACCATGTGTGTCCAATAAGGAAAATGAGAGGAGAAAACGAACATTACTCTAAAAGTACGGCAGGCAAGTGGCCCCGTGCTCTAGGACGACAAGTCCGTTGGTGACCTTACCTCTGTCTCAAACCCACTAACACCGAGATGACTCTAGTATAGCGAATGGCCCACGGCGTAATGTTGAATGGTAGCTGCAATACCAGCTCTTGGAGGCGAACCAACCAAGAACCGACTGACAGAGGCCCTAATGTTTTGACTTGAATAGAAAAGAACTTGACAGTCCGAAAGGGATGTCTGTATGATGATCAGTATGGGCTTGAACCGACCTTGGCTTCCAAGGGGTATGCCATCATCGACTGCGACGTGGGCGTTATGGTCAAGCTTGTCTGATAACGGTCAACCGTGTCATCCGGCAAATGTGAAGTTGTACAAAACACCCATTGGCGCGCTGTCCTGAACATATTGGAGCTGGCGTCCTGTTTCCGAAGCATAACGGATGTTGAACATCTCAATCATTATGATTCTTCCTCCGTTCTTGGAGCCTCTGCAAGGTGTCGCTTACAAGTCGAGGAAGAGTCGTCCAAGATGTTGAAGACACTCATGTCCCATTAGGTACCACTCTTGAAGCGTGCGGGAGCTACAGCAAAACTAGTCTACAGGGAGCTACGGGAACACGTAGAATGAGAGTGAGGCAGAGATATGTATTCTGTAGAGTCATGGAGTACAAACAGGGAGCTCTTTCTGCCTGCCATCTAGAGCACCAACCGATCCAATTTTACGAGGTGCAAATGTAATACAGTCGTGCTATGCAGTCATACCGTGCCGTACCATATGGGGGGGGGGGGGGGAGGAGGGAAAGGGAGAGAGAGAGAGAGAGAGAAATGTCTCGATATTCGGCACAGACATGCGCAGGCTGCTTCCGCGATCTGCGTGCATACAATCGGCAGCAAATAGATGAGTGAACAGGTTTAAACACTGCAACTGGCAGGACATCGGGGAGTCTTGCGCAACCCTAATAACCTTCATAATTTCCTGGTTCTTTTCTCTTTACGCTGACCATCTTATTAGGCGAAGTTATCTTACGCACGTCCCTTCTGGCGACATGCAGCCCTGGTAACCATACATGCTACCCTGTGTGTACAGGGATGCATGTTATTTTTAGATATCTCTTCATTCATAAGTTTCGTTGCTTGGGGAGGCGGGAAGCTTGTGCAGGCCATTGATCTCTAAAAGGAAGCTCGATTGTCCTACAAATCCATCTTTGGCCGCATTGGGTTCAAACGGCAGTGCTCTCTAGAATAGGCAATCTTAGGCTTGAAATACAAACAACCACACTCGTTTGCTTAAGTGGTACTGTGAACTTCCTTCATCATAGACTAGAGATGGGAGGCCCCCCTCCCCCTTATCAAGGCTCGCCAAGTTGTAGACTGAGACAGCAGTTCCTTTGGTTTACTACATTCAATAAATTTTTATTATTTTCTTTGGACGCAATATAAACAAACATGCAGTGCTGTCTTTCAATTCCAGGGTACATACCCCGAAACCCATTTGGTCTCAGAGAGCTAACTGGGGGGACAGGGAACAATCGGGGGGAGATATGGGCACTGCATTGTTTACACTGCCTCATTCGAGTACGACACCAAAAAAGAGCCATTCTACGGGTTAGTAATTTCTTCCCTCGGGGGCCTGGGACGCGTCTATGTGTTTCTCGCCCTTGGTGCGAGTCCCTCACTCCCCCGCGGAGACGATCCGTACCTCATACACAATGGTTTCTGGTCAGGAACAAACAACTTTGCGATGACCCACGGCTTTTTTTTTTTTTTTTTTTTTTTTTTTTTTGGTCCGTGGGTGTAGCATACATCCATTACCAATTCAGTGTTAAAAGACAACGGTGCATTATTTTTCACAAGTGAACGATGTAAACAAGTTGGATATCAAGTCAAACCCGATCATCTCAGATCCAGATCAACGAACACAATCAGAAAACCTTTTTAATGCTTTCAAAAGATATAGGGGAGGGAGGGAGAAGGGGTATCGCCAAGAAAAAGAAAAAAAAGGATATGCTATCTTTTTTTGGAAGAAGGGTACTGAAAAAATAATGGAATGAAAAAAAAGCATGGGAAACCCCCTCGGCGGAACAGAAACGATGCTGCTATACATTGCCCGATCTAAAGTCGAGCGGTAAACAAAAACGAACAGGGGGAGAAAAATAACAACAACATCAACAACAACAACCAATATAAGACCTATAGCGCGCGTTGCTACAGAATAAACCGGCTTAAAAAAAAAAAAAAAACGCTCAGCACTTCAAAGCGATCCGATAGCTGTCAGGTGAACAGCAAGGATGATAAAAAAGAATTGAAAAAAAAAAGATAGCGAAAAAAAACCAACCACAACAACAAAGCTGTTTCCAGTACCATTCATCTGCCTTTAACCGCTCTTCGGCACATAATCCTCCTCCACATAATCGCCCGGATCCGCCCTGTCCATGTCTGTTACAACGACCTCCCAGACGTACTCCTGCCTCGTCGATTCATTCCAGACAATCCGGAGGGCATCCCCTTTCTCCAGGACCGAGACCATCTCATCCTCCTTTTGATGCATGTAGTCCTTGCATGCCTTGATCATCGCGTTCAGAGCCGCCCGCTGAGAGAAATACGTCTGCACCGACACGCTCCAGTTGCGAGAGGACTTGCTGTCGCGTGAACGCTTGGTGCCTCTCTTAAACTCCACATATTTATGCTTCTCCTCTTTGGCCCATTCCATTGCTGCACTTGTCTCCTCAAATTCGCACTCGGGTCCCCCATGCAGAGCCGTGCTCGCGCTCGGAGATTCGTTAGATGGAGAGCCATCGTCGTTCGACAGTGAGCCGTCCGAAAGGGTCTCGAAGGGACAGGGCACGACTCTCAGGCTGGAGGCATGAGTCGACGATTGACCAAAGTCCATGGAACCGGTCTCGTAGCCGAAGCCGCTGAAATCCGCTGAGCTAGGCCCACTGATCGAATGCGCCTCCATCAAGCGGTTAATGGACTCGTGCTGGTCGGAAGGCACGATCTGGTAGGGCGAGTAAGGGTGCACTGGAGGTGGCGGGCATACGTCCGGTGCGATTCTCGATGTGGATGAGGTCAAGTCCGAGTCCGAGTATCGTCGTCTGAAATGGAAATTCTTGATGATTTCGGAGGTAGAGTAGCCACTCTGCGAGGTCAAAGCCCCATCTCCGTGTCTGTTGCAATGTTTCTTGTGGGGGTGATCGTGGTTGCTATAGCTTCTATCGCCGCTGCCAGAGCCGGTTTGGCATGAGAAGACAAATTGGGTGGCATTTGGTCGAGAGTGGGCGTAGGTGTCATTAGCCGAGTATTGGAGAACATAGGTGTTGAGCATATAGATGTTTTTATGTCGAGGTCGTGAGGCGTATAGTTCCTTCATGCAGTCCACGAAGGCCCCGTATGCGGTACGATGGCCAAGGGCGGTTTGACGCCACAGTTTGCTGACCAGCTGGAATTCATACAGGTTCCTGGTAGGGAGGTATTTTATAATGTGGTCGAGGATCTCTGGGATTCTCAGTGCGAGTGGGCCTGGATCAGTGTAGTCCGCGTTAGTTCCAATGTTGGGATTGTTGATATTGTCGTCAATGTCAACAGCGATGTCGTCAGTGGCCATCGGTAAGGAGGGTCGAAAGAAGAGGAAGCGGCACCATGGAAAGGGGAGGGATGATGAGAAAGCGAGAATGGGAAAAGGCGTTGTGGTTAGTATCACAGTGTCAAGTCTGTGGTGTTGTGGTGTTGTGGTGTTCAACTGCGAGAGTAGCTGTGTTTCTGCGTCTTTCAGTTATTGAGAAACGAACGAATGGAGGAAGAAGAAGTAGTAGTAAAGAAACAGAAGGGACACTGCAATGGGTGAGAGAAAGAGGGGGAGGGAAAGACGAAGGACAAGAAAGGGATAACAAAACAAGGGTTGTTATCGAGAAGAGGGCAAATGGAAATAGACTCCGACCCAAGCCCCACACCCCCGAACGCTGTGCTATGGGCCTGACACATGCAGATGCCGGGTGTGTGGGCGACGTAATGCAATGCGTGCAGGGAGCGAGCTCAGAAAGGAGTATGTCTCCTCATCTCTTTTCTGTTGTTCGCGGCTCTGTGTAGTCAACCGGTTTTCTTTTCTTTTTTTTTTTTTTTTCCTTCTGTGGCGCTCACGAAATCCCAAGATCCTGGTCAATCGTAGCACAACTACATATCCTCGGGCTCTGAGCCTGACCCGAGAACGCCATTCGTTCCTCTCGCTCCCTCAGTTGCGTCTTCTCATTGGACTAGTCTCTTCGCTTGAAAGTAGCAATGATGACTCTCTTACCTGATGGGATGTTATCGTCTGTTGAGATATTAATGTCTGACATGAGGAGAGTTACTTTTGAAGCTTGAAAGGTTTGGAACTTTTGATACGTGGTTCGGCGAAGGCGCGCGATCTTCTCTAATAATGGAAAGTGTGCGTGGTATATTTCGTTTTTCAGTTATTTAGTCACCATTCAAAAGGATCTAGTGGATCGTATCCCGCAGTTGCAATGAAAATGCAGAGCTAGACAATTACCTGGACTAATGCAGGAAATAAGAGAGCGCCAAATGGGCAATGGAAAAAAGATAGAATAAGGTACGGGTGACAGAATAACCGAGTGTGAATAAAATTCTGGTCGTTGAGGAAGGACCGAAGTGGGAAAGCAGAATTAACACTAAACACCAAAGATAAAAAACACGTAACGTGCGATGCAATGTGTTTTGATGAACAAGAAGTGCAAAGTGTAGCGCGGAGGCCGTCGCTGAGATGGCAATGTTATAAGGATGACAATTGACAGGTGGTTAAGACTGCAGAGAAACTACGAAAGACTGACGATACAAGGGAAGGGAGAAAAAAGAAAAAAATTGGCGATCTTTGGTTGCATATTTATAAGGATCGCCATTTCTTTTTTGGTCCGCGCGGGTTATTGTCGTACGGCAGTGAATATGCAGAGTATGACACCTTGTACAAAAGGGATAAAAGATAAAAAGTAAAAAAAGGGCCCACAAGTGCAGTGTAATGCTCACTGACTACTAGAGTACAATGCAACTATAGAGGGCCAACAATAAACAAAAACAAGTGTACGTCGAGAGATGGCTAGGTCACTGGTTGACTACCACAGTAGTGAGTAAACACGGCAGAACAAAGGGTATTGAATTGTTTGCTAGATAAAGATACGAAAGAGGCGGGGATTCGATGTGATCACCCCCATCTGGACCATGAGGATGCGCGCCAAAATGAGGATGCAGACCTGGAGTCGGCGGGTAGGAAGGGAGAGGTGTAAACAAAAGCACGAACATGCATATGAGTATCAACAAACGGGCCAAACATGGGAAATGGAAACTTGTTATGGTTGTGTAGCTCCAGCTCTCTGTTGCACGCGTGCCATACACCTTTTCAATTGGATTGAGTTACATTGGATTAGACTGAATTGAACTGAGAAATGACCACCTACTCTAAATTCACACCGTGCGACGAACGATGCATTGTATACAGTAAGATATTCAAAAATAATAGGAACTGAGCAGCAACAACAACAACACCCTGATTCAAGCTGCTACAACTTTTCATTGTAAAATATATAGGGTGTATAGAATGCATAAAACGTTCATTCGGTATAATGTGTGTTGTGCGGGTAGTATAAAGATATCGATTGTATCTGCATCGCCTCTTCGTAAAAGGAGTTGCCTGAAATTTTTTTTGTATGGATGTTTAAACCATATTTGGACATGTACGGAATTGCTGTGCTTGTTTCACCTAGCACGAAGGGGAGAGAGAACAGGGTAAAAAAAAAAGAGGGCTAGCAAGCAAGAGGCAAGTGCTATATCATGCCATGGCATGGTCAGCCAACCTTACTATACCACATATACTACAGCGTACCACACATGCTCGAATCATATCAGGGACATCTGTAGAGCTGAAAGGTACAGGCAGACTCACCTCCGGGCTAAAAACAGCTTGCTGGCGATGCACCGCGGAACAGAAACGAGGGTACCATCCAACTCTCCAACACTGGGGCTATCATTAGCATTGGATTCCGCTTTGTGTTCCTGCCAATACAACACGTCGGTCATTGTTGGTAGTAGCGCCTGCATATCCTCGCCATCCTCTCTCTCTCTCTCTGCCGCTACTTCTGTCGGTCTGTAAGCTCAGGCACCTTAGGCGCATGCATGCGTGCATGAATTGGCATGTACATACACGTCCACTCACATGCGCAGAATGACAACAGCCAGCGAAGCGAGACAAACCTCACAGAGCACAGTGGTGCAGTGCTCAGTGTCCCTCTCGTGCAGACCATCATTATACTCTTAGTTTACCTGCACTCTTATTCAATTACCTTTGGCTCTCAATCATCTGCATTTCAAGGGTGTCTTTTGTCCATCTCCATCTTGTTTTTGCCATGTCGCTAGACTTTAAAACGACCGATTACTGTATAACGCGGTATTGGTGTACACTACCGCAGCAAAAGCAAGGCCATGGGCCAGAGATCATTTTTAACGCGAGAGACATCAATACAGAGGCGTACCGCGCAGGCATGTACACATAATGAGAAGAGAAAAATAGAAAAGAAGGCGGAGGAAAAAGAGAGAGAGATAAAGCGAGATGCAAGAGAGATGGAACGGTGTGCATGCGAACTATCAAAAACCTTCAATACGTTCCGCTGGAGTGGCCGATATGAAATGAAAACAAATGACTGCATGGTCAAGGGCTAATCTTGAACAACCCATACCTCCATCTGATCCAGAAGGTCAATGGGCAAAAACAGCAAGCGGGAGAAGAAGAAAAAAAAGTTAGGCGTCCTGAGCTTCCACACTGTTCCCTCGATGTCTCAATCTCTTCTCCATCTTTTCCTCTCGTGCGGCGATCGCACCGATTGCGTCAATGACAGGAAGGGATGGATACCACGATCTTTTTTTTTTGTTGATTTCGGAAATCGTGTGTTCCACTGCATCCGGTGGATAGTGTTTCTGTCTCGTTCCCGCTCCCGCGTCCATCCTTCATAAGCGTGGTAAAAAGAAAAACCGTAAACTTCTGCGAACCCTATGGCCACACGGTACAGCACGCGTTTTTCTCCTTTTTTCGTGCGTATCCGTCGTCGGTTTGTGCGTACGTGCTTTCTCAAAAAAATCCGCTCTCATCAGTTGTCGAACCATTGGACGCGCTTATTCTCTTCGCGACATGGGGCGAGCCATGCACCATGGTTCCCCAGTTTGTTTATTTTTAGCCCTTCTGCTCTTTGCGCCTTGAACGCCGATCGAGTAGACCCTGGGTCCGGTTTGCCGAGGCATTCGATACATAAGCGGAAAGAAGGTACATGGCTGCCTGGAACCCAGTTTCTGTTCATTGGTCCTATCATGGGCAGATCAGGGGATGGATGTGGCAGTGTAGGTAGTGCGGAGGATTTTCTTGCTAGGATAGATATTGAGCACCGCGTTATGTCTGACCTACCTGTATGTCTGAAAAGGTAAAGAGAAACAAACATTCATTCTACACGCGTCTTTACAATAAAGAGGCAAAGTAGTCCCAACTGGACTCGATAACTAGGGTCCCAGCCTCTGTTTGTGCTGTATTATTTTAAGGAAGCACGGCCAAAAATAGACAGCTGTAATCCTCCATGCATCCCCAACCCTCTTTTTTGCTGCTCTGGGTGCTATAATGGGGTGCGGAAACGTGGCCAGATAGTCCCGGAAATAGACGACATTAATCGACACGCCCCTTTGCGCTACAATCGATATGCAATCAATAAATTTTTAGTGTTTACTGAAGCTAATTGAATAAATTCAATAGGTGGAGACATTTGAAACCAATATGCCGGATCCCTTTTTTTCAATAAGGACCACATTCAGTCTCGACATGCCAAGACGCGGACATTCCCCTCCCCCACCTGCCACTGCCCAAGTGTCGGAATCAAGCGTGTATGAGTAAGAGAGAAGAAGAGGAGGAGAAATGGAAATAAACGCGAGCTGCCTACGGTTGTTCTAATCGCAACGCAACTCGAGCTCTGATTGGACAATTGCTGGCCCATGCATACGATGCAGGGAACACTTCGTCCATATAGCCCGATGTTCTTGTTGGTCGGTATTTTTAGAAACCACGGGCCTCATTTCTCTTTTTTTATCTGTCTCTTGTCGCGAACAGATCTGCATCCACGTCGGTGTTTGTTATGCACATACCTCCGCATTCAGGTACGGACACACGCACACACACGCGCGCGTGCGAACAACCACCGGGCCAAACACGAAACCTGCTTCGCCCATTCCTCGCCGGCCCTATTCAGTCCCTTACCACCACCCTCTTTCACACTCTCCTATCTCTATTCCTCACACCCTTTTTTCTTATTCTCTTTCTATTTTACTCTCTATCCCTCTTTCAATCCCTCTTATTCATCCTATATGCCCTCTCTCTCTCTCTCTCTCCCTCTCTCTCCCTCTCTCTCTCCCTCTCTCTCCCACATACATTCCGCCATCCATCTTACTCCTCTCGTACCCCTGCTCTCGCGCTGTCCGTTCCCGCCATCGTCTCCATGCATGCCGCTTTGCCGAGGCGTTCGTCGTAAATAGCCGAAGGATGCCTCTTTGTTTATTTCGAGATGGTGTCATGGATTCATCGGGTAACCTAACGCACCACACGATGCCTTTCTTTCCTGCTCAACTACCTTGTAACTCCTTACATTCCTAAATATGGACAGTATGAACAATCATTTCCCTCGCGCGACCTTCTTGTGCTCTGTAGTAGCGCCTTTGTGATCTGCCGCCATTCATATTCCGTCTCTCTATCTCTATATCTCTCTCACGCGCGCATGCACCATCGCACTTCCTCCTCCTCCTCTTCCCTCGCCTACACATGCGCGATTTTATGCATGATTGGGCTCGCCCCTGTTTCTCATCTCGACCTTCACCCTCTCATGCACTCTTTTCTTTCCTTCATCCATAAACAAACCGCTGCCAATTCCTTGCCGATCTCTCCACGGTCTTCTCAATGGTCCATCCACGGATCTCGGCCACCTTGGACGCCATCTCGACCAATAGCCGATCCACCTGTGTATGCGAGTGATGATCCGATTCGATCAACAACCGATCCTCTGGAACCGCCAAGATTAGCTCCCTCAACTTCTTCTCCTGAAGCCGTCCATTGATCAGGATCGAGAACGAGAAGAAAATCTCGGGCGGGTGATCAAGTTTCGTGAACGCCTTCAGCATATCGATCGAGCCACCATAACTGTGCATACAGAGCCGAGGTGGGAGAACTGGTTCGTACTTTGGAGCCACTGTTGATTCATCCGTACCACTTGTTCCTGCGGCCGTTGTCGTCGTCATCGTCACCGCATTCAGAGTCGAAGATGCAACACTCTTAGATCCATCGTCGCCGCTCCTGCTCTCGTCCTTGTCGTCTCCGCTCTCCTCATCGTCCTCGTCCTCATCCGATGACTCCTGAAGTGTCGAAGCCACATGCCTCTCCCACGCCGCATCCCTGGCCTCCTTCCTCAACCGCGCTGCACTCTTCTTGCTCAACCGAATCCCCGACGGACTGATCGGTGAGATCGCCGCAGTGCCTCCAGACGCATGAATCTGCTGCAGCTGCAATTGGTAGTCGTTACCGGCCTCCATCTGCTTCAGCCGCCTGCCCTCCTGAATCAAGAAATCGTGCCAATGGCCATACGCTTGGACACAATGGAAACTGACCGCTCGATTCAGGGATGCGGCCAATTTAAGTTGCTCCCGCACAATGTCCAGCTGATGCTGAATCGACGTCAATGCCAAGGTGGTCCGCTTCTGGTTCGGATCCTTCTTCTCCTTATCGCCGTTATCGCACCCTGCTGTTGTTGTTGCTGTTGTTGATGACGACGATGGTATCGAGGGCTCTGGTACACGCGCGGTCCTGTCCAACCCAATCTCTCCGACGACCGCATGTGGGTGTGCCTCCAGCTGCCGCCGCAGTTCCTTCAATGCCGGCTCAAGTGCTCGGGGCTCAGGTAGTCGTTTCGACAAGTCGCGCAAGTACTCCTCTGATGCCGAAGTAGGTAAGCCAAGTACCTTCTGATAATGCGCGAACCGTGGGTCATGCTGCTGGTGAGTCGAGATCTCCATCAACTTTGCATTCGCTCCATTCTCCTCCACCGCATTCGATCCGACTGCAGCATCCTGATGGGTCATTCCCTCCTGAGCGCCATCATCATTGTCTCCAGCTGCGACCTTCTCCTGGTTCTCTTTTGCCATCTGTTCCTGGAGCTGCTTCGACATCGCCAAGAATGCCTCTCTCCTCAGCCCAGGTTCAGGGACCGGTGTCAAAAACGCGGACGAGAACGACAACGTTGGTGAAGCCCCCTCGGCACTCTGCTCTGCTGCTCCACCTGCACTTACGCCTCGCAGCTCTATCCCACTCCCTGTTGATCCCTCCAAGGGCCTATACTTGTGCGTGAACCAAGGATGGATCCCGAAGCAGGGCACGAATCGGTCCGGATGATCCTGGGCCAATTTCGAGACCAGATCCCAATCCCCCTGAGTATCGGTGTCGCTCCAGCTTACCGTGACAACCGGAGTCGAGGACGAACGTACCGAGGACGAGTTCAAGGAGAGGGCGGCGGTACTAATGGATATTGACCCATCGTCCTGGACGGGGAGACCAAGATCCTTGGAGGGTTGGACGCCCATAAGACAGACCTTTCCGGTCAATAAAGGTGCCACTGTCGCATCGCTGCTGGTACTTTTGTCGCTTGATGAGGACCACGAATGGACCAGGCTGTTGATGTTCTGACGATCATCCTGAATGTGGCAATGCGCATCTGTTAACTGGCTGTAGAGATGCCCGGGGAAGGCCAGGGTCTCGCCCCCTGGCTGTTGCTGTTGAGCGTCGTGTTTGCCTCCTCCACACATAGCTGATTTTTCTTTCTCCCTGCTCGTTTAGAAAAGAGTGAGGGCGGAACTGAAGAATAGGAATGAGAATAAGGAATCAAATGACAATGGAAGGCAATGGAAGACCGAGCTAGCAGGCTGAGGGACACGCGTTCTCTATCTTTGTACCCTCTCGGCGCGCCATCTTGTATGCACGGGCTTTCTGTTGGCTTACACAGTTCCTTTTTTTTACGAGGCAAGAAGCATCATGATTATTCTACGCTCGTTTATTTCGCAAGTTTCATAATGAAAGAGTGCGTTGCTCAGTAATGGTACTGGCTCCCTGGTTGCGGCACCCCCTCCTGCGGGTTCTGTCTAAGGTTTGCCTGAGGCACTGACTGACTGAATAAATGCTGGTCGCCGTAGTCTTGCGGCGCAGCAGATGCAGGATACAACTGCGGACCAGGCCTACTGGGATATGCCGCTGTTGCGGTACTTAAAGGCGGCGCAACATACTGCACATCCGTCTGTGGCCGCCCTACTGCTGTTCCGGGGTACTGCTGTAGGTGCTGTGGCTGTGCGAAAGTAGGCGTGGATGATACAGAAGCAGTGGTTGCAGGGATGTACGGCGATGATAATGATGCACCCATCTCGTCGTTCTTTGTCGGGTAGGGTGTGTACGCTGGTGCTGGCGACATCTCGGGTTGGTCATGCGACTGATGTGCCTGAACTGATGGTGGTGGCGGATACATTTGATATTGCTGTCCATGCTCATAGTTCTCAAATGTGGGTGGCACAAACGTCGTCGATGTCTGCTGTAAAGGCATACAAGAGGCGTGCACTACCTCCACAGACTGCAGTCTCTTCCGTCTGGCCATGTAACGACAGGTCCAGGTACTGACTACACACAGGACAGTTAAGCAGGCGATAACTATTCCAATGATGGCGGACACCGGCACTCCTCCTTTGAATATGCTGTTGGAAGAACCACCAAATGATCCATCAGAGGATCCACTGGATCCTCCATTCGGGTTCGACCAGCCTGTGACATTGATCGAATAGTTCATGTCCTGCCATGCTCCAATGTTGGGTCCGGACAAGGTCAGTCCAGCTATGCTGGTGTCGTTGTTCATGAACGCCCAAGTCACACCTGATCCGGGGGTTGATGCAAAGGGGAAGAAGGACTCTGGGTATCCGATCGAGGTGTTGACCTTGACGGGAGCATTGAACGTGATCCCGTCCGAGGTCGCTAGGTAGTTGAGCGACCGTCCAGAATTCGAACAGAAAATATAGTAATCGTTTCCAAGTATCGCACCCCTCACTGTTCCGGAGAAAAGCGAGCAACTTGTGCCCATGCTGGCCGGCGCAGAAATGACCTTGATGGACGAGCTGGTGGACGGAGTTGCTGTTGGGTTCAGGGGTATGATTTTCAAGGCTACGGTGGAGTTCCCAAAGTTCATGGAGGTCACGGCAAAGGCGTTGGGAGTACCGCTTCCAATGGGCTGTGGGAGAAAATTAAGCATTAGAGCATAGCACGCTTAGTCTTTTTTTTTTTGTTAAACAATTGCATGGCAATGTCGATAGTAAAACAAATGTCGTTCAAATTGCTCTTACCGTGGACCATGTAGCATTCTGTTCGACAAAGATGTGCCGAGTCTTGTCAAAGATGGCAAAGGTGATTGAATTACTGATAATTGAGGTGCCGTAGACGTGCATCAACACACTGCCGTCGCCGTTCGGCACAGTGAACATGACACTGTCGGCAGTGAAGGACCACTTGTAGTTATCTGTGACATCGACATTGGTCCAGCTGCCTCCGTTGGCGGGGTCGTATTAATATTCACGTATCCGGCTGGGTGCTTGATCGGACTCGAAGGATTTAGAGCTGGTGCTCATGATTGTGAAGACACCTTTGCTGTCGACAGAGCAGACCAGACTTCTGATTTGAGCTAGTCCCTGGAGGATGTACAAACCAGGTTGGGAGACGGACGAGACAACTTTCCAGGTCAGATCTTTGGGGCTAGTAGGATTGGCGCTGGACTGGGTGAGGAGGATGGTGTCGTTTACTCTGCCGAGACCCCTGATAAGTGTGTGTGCCCAGAGGGCGGACCCATCCGAGGCGATACAATTTGGTTGTAGAGGTGTGATGTCGGACATTTTACAGGCCTTTGCGGAGGAAGCAGGGACGAGGGAGGAGAGTGTTTAATGTTTCGTGGTGAGGATAAGTGAGATGAGGGTGGGTTGCTTGGTGGGAGGTGGGGAGGGAAGAGAAGGCCCATCGTTTCTTCGGCGGAAGAAAGGGTGATCGAAGCAATTTCAGGCACAGGGACAGTGTGCGTCTGGACACCCACGCACCAACCGCAGTGATGAGGGAAAGTAATCAAGCAAAATGCACGCTGAGCCCATCTTATTTTCTTATTTCAAAGTAGAATCCGTACACTCCTCTTTGCCATCTCCACACCTAGACTTTGACCGTATGTCTATGTCTATGTCTATGTCTATGTCTATGTCTATGTCTATGTCTATGTCTATGTCTATTCCTGACAGCCTACTCCTCCTGTTCTTCGTCAATGTAGAAGGACCCATCAGGATCTGATAACTCATGTATATTTAAGGATATAACGTGCACACATTCGCAGTGTAAATAGGCTATAGGGTTTGTATTGTATGGTTACACACCAGTCTTTTTGCCACGATTTTTCTGAGCTTCTTTATTTCTGCGTCATAGAGCCCACTACCATGCCATGCTACCTTCAAATCGAAAACCGTAGTTACCGCTCAAGCTAACCTCTCCTCGGCAACTTCTGATAATTTTCCTTCATTCTTCTTTGTTTGAAGAAGACAAATAAAGTCTTTTATGTGAAAAAGCAATGTGATTAACCTCCTCCAAGAAATGACCCAGACCTGGTAATGCTCTGCCTGTAATGGTCACATGGCGTAGCCCTAGGACGTCGAATTAAAATCGAACGCCTAAAAGGTGTTATTTTTCGTGCACAGCCCAGGGCATTTGTCTGGTTATGAGATGTACTCACGGTATGGACGACGCGCGTTAAAACTTGTCGCGTTCAGCAGCTCGAGATGAAACGATTCAAACAGAGTGAGTGGCAGTCGTCCGCCTGAGGATCTTGCACATGAACTTTGAACAATCCCGCGAACCAGTGTCCCTCTCTCTCTCTAACGATACAAACTCTGTGCGAGTGTCCCGCTGCTCTGACTATACGATGAACATGTCCACCTCGAAACACGTCTACCTCGAACCTACCATCTGTAAACAGTGACCTGGGACTGAAGACCATCCTCCATTAAAACTTGTCACTGGAGTTGAACAGTCTGTTTGAAAAGCTGTTCCTTGCCACGTTTATTTCGTGGTCGTCTGCTGCATAGCTCTAGAGTTAGGTCCAGTATCCCCTATGGGTGCTTGTTCCACGGGTTTTAAAAATAAGAAATAGAAAAAAAAAAGGCGGATGTTGTTCGGTGTCAGATGTTTGCTTCAACTACTGAGATCGGTCATCAATTCTACGCCGCTCATGAATTCTATGCAAATTGCGACTTGAGGACACCCATGCAGATAAAGTAAACCCCGCCGCTTGACAAAGGCCTTGTTCGAGATCCGATTTGTTATTGACAGGATGGCTCTTTCTCTCTGGTAGCCTAACAAGGGTGGTATGAATGCTCATAAAAAAACTAATAAAGATAGACCTGCAGGGTGTTTCTCCTTGGAAATTCATATCTTTCGAACGTCAAAAACCGCGTTGCTGCAACGCGTTTTACATGCTCACGCGCGTTCTACGGAGGAAGAAAAATCCCCGTCGCCTTCAAGGTAGCGGCAAGGATGAAGAAAGCAAGTTAGGAGCGAATCTTGTTTCCCTGTCATGTCTACAGCTGATTCACTCTTGCTACCGAGAATTAGAGACCATTCGCATCAATGAAAAAAGTATCCAAAACAAGTAATAGCAATCATATCGATTCGACCGCGCAAAGAACTGTTGGACATACAAGCTTTATTTTATAAAAATTATACGCTCGCATCGTTGCTAGATATTGCATGCAGTCGGATCTAAGTTGAATGGATACGTGTCAATTAGTTCAATGACAGTCGTAGTTCGATACCGCATTCGATGGAGAGAAGGAGGGGTGAGAGGGTTTGTACGTAGGTGCTGCTTGCATCTCAGCGCATTTATACAAAGGAGTATCAAATTGGGCGTGAAGAATATTGGATGGCGCGCCCACAAGTTTCTCCACCAGTTCGACTATCGCCCTCAAGGGAATACCAGAGATTTGATGAGGTATCTAGCTCAAACCGGCTTTTACTTCGTATTCAAACGCACACACAGGGGGTGAACGATTCATGCTAGTCTACCAAACATTGAAATGAAGACAAGCAAATAAGGATGCTCACGACCACAATGATGAGGAAAAGCACGTATTTTTCAGTTTTGGAGACGAGAAGTTCCTGAGCACTGGCTATGGTGTTCAGCGAAAAGTTGCCCCTGAAGAGGAGCACGCCCCTCCTAAACTGTAAATGTCTCTGAAAGAATCACTTTGGACAGCACAAAGCGCGTTAAAACTTCCGCCCAAGGAACACATCCGCCAAATATGCCCCCAAGTCGGACGAGCGCCTAGAACGCGCAATACAGAAAGCTTGGACACAAGCGCAGGTGGCAGGGAAAACAGACCGCCGCAGCAGACGATTCCCTGCACATCTCAACAGTAACTCCCTTCACTTCCACACACACAGATGAGTCGTTCCCCGAATCTCTAGTATTGAGCTCAAATAGAACTGACACTCCCCTAACATTCTGTGTGAACATCCGTCCGGGCACGGGTAATCTAACTTATTCGAGCCACAGCTATTTATTTCTAGCCCAAAAAAGGCCGCGTGCGCACAGACACTACTTTGGCCAGTATTCGGCCTTACTCATCTTTTTTCGCTAATGTAAAAAACTGTAATTCTTAGGGATTCATATATTTTTCTACTCTTTTTTACTATGCAAAATACAAATAAATGTGTTAAAGATAGGCAAGATAGGTAATAGCTCGAAAAGCCAGTTGTCTGTAAGGTACTGTAATGTGTGTCTAAGCTGTCTAGGTCCTACGACATTTCCGTCGTCAACGCTGAAAGTGTCGCCAAAGCCCTATTCTTCTGATGCTTCGCAATGGCCTTATCCATCGCCATGATCCTTAGCTTGCCTCCCACGATCGTCACCCCGACCCATCCCGCCGTAATCAAACTCCTCAGGATCAATCCTCTCCAATCCGAAAACTTTGTCATGTCCCGTCCGAGATCCTGCAGCTTTTTCAAATACCCCATCTCTTTCCGCCCCTTGGCAAGGTCCACAAAATTCAGGATCAGCTGCTGACGACACGCGGGGCACGTCTTGCGTCCTGCGTTCTGCGAAGAGAGTGTGTCTAGATCATCCTGCTGAGGGAACAAGGGTCGTAGCACAGGTTCTGCAGCATCCGCTGCATCTTCTGACTCTGGCTGCTGTGCTTGGGCAGTAGTATCCCGTAGCTCTTCCATTCCTGCATCCTGCTGCTGATCTATTTGTTGGGTCATCGTCGGCGTTCCAATCGCTGTAGTTGCCCCTCCAACCGACTCTGTCCGACGGGTATCTTCCTGCTCCTCGGCTGGCCCGTGCGCATGCGCAGCACCAGCCGCTCTCGCGGCTCCTACTCTTGCTATGACATTCAATCTCCTATCAGTCTCGGCTCTGTTGTCCGGTAACGCCAGCAACCACCCGAGCCCGATCCGATTGCCCATAGCTCTAGGCGTCGCCCTTCCTATTCCTGCAACGGCTCCATGGAGAGTCGTTCCCCAATTAAAGATCCTGAATGCCTCCATCGGCCGATAGCCCTTCGGCCCATAATTATACCATTTGCGGATACACCCACGATGGGCCACATGTTGCCTGACCGTACAAAAGTTCTCGAGCACATGGTCCGTATCTCTATTCAATCCCCTCCCGTTCATATACGGATCTGCCTGGTTCAGTAAATCCTCGTCGTCCTCCGAGTCCAACATGGCGCCGTAGCAGATACAGCAGTCATCATCGCTCATCTGGACATGACCATGTTCGTCCTTCTCGAGCGGTCGCCCTGTGATCAAGATCCTTCGTTTCTCGAGCCCAAATTTCCGGAGGATATAAAACATGACGAACTCGTCCATGAGCATGGTGGCGAGTGAGAAGATAGCGATCTTGCCAAGGATTGGCCGAGTATTGCGGAAGAAGTCGCCGTAGGGCCGTCCGGGCCGCTTGGTGAGGGCCGAGGTGAGACGGACGACCCGGAGCATGAGGTAGGCGACAACGAGGTAATAGCAGCTGATCGCACGCATCTCCCCTTCGCTCCAGCGTTTCTTGCGGAAGAGCCAGCGCGGCTGTGAGTTGATCAGGATCGTTGCTATTCAGGTAGATAACCATTGCCATCAGAGGTCAGTTCAACCGGCCCAAAGGTCACTGCCTGGGTATCCCTTCTATTAGAAAAGGCGCTGTACATACCTTTTAGCCAGGCAGACACCGCTAAAAAATAAGTTCATTCGTATGAACGTAATGTTCGTAACCAAATCGTAGGGGTTAGTATATGAAAAATATATATGTCGACAGTGTTCAGATCAATAATAATGATCATGTCACAGACGCATGCTAAAGTAATCTGAGTATGAATATGAGAGAGAGCCTTACCCCAGGCATTGAGAGAGATGACCAGGCCAGCGGGGATGCCTTTGACGACCTCGCGGGCTATTCGAGTGGCATCCATCCGCCTGTACAACGTTGAGGGTGTGAAAGGGAGCATTGGTTCCAGCTCTGCAGGGGTTCAGAGGTATGTTCGAGTCGGCAGAAAAAAAAAGGGCGTGCAGTTTGTTTGGTTGAGAAGTGGTGGTTTATGATGGGGAATGAGGGTCGGCGGAGTGATGTGAAAGAATAATGATTGGCTGGGAGGGGGAAAAGGAAAGACGCGATTAGGAATGAATGAATGAATGAAGAGTGAGGGATGCGGGATGCAGAAAGAGGAGTATGGAAATAGAGAAGGACAGAACACCGTGCACTCATTCAAATGGAGGATCCTGGCAACAAAGTCGTATCTATCGCATGAGTAAGCATTCCATTTACTGCTTTACTAAAGATAATACTTGACAAGAAGTGAAATAAAACTAGCCATCGTTCTACTCCTGCATCTCCACATCTTCGTCCTCCTCTTCTTCATCGCTCTCCTCCTCCTCGCCCTCTGCAACCGTCAGCTTCATGTCGATCTCCTGGTCACATCCCAGGAAGCTGTCGCACATCGTGTACAGCTTGAACGTCTGCTCACCCGCACGTGGGCACACGAACTCCAGCTTCACCTTCAACCGCCGCTGCAGCGTAATCCTCTTGATCGCCAGCAATGTCTTCGTTGCCGGGTCGCCCACAACAATCCACCAGCCCTCGTCCTTCTTCGTCGGGAAGAACGGTGCCGGCACACTCGTCAGCTCCTCCTCATCTCCCTCACGCTCCAGCTGCACTTCGATCACCACAGGCTGGCCTGTCTTGATCTCGTCCTCGTCCTCAATCTCGTATCCAACCTCAACGCTCGGGTACCGGTTCACAAACTCCGCAATTGCACGCATCTGTCTTTCGTCCACCTGCAGTGCTGCATCCCGGTCTTCGTCCTCCATATCCTGGAGATCAAACACAGACTCAACTCCCTTGGCCTCACACCGCTTGATCCTCTCGCTCGTCATGTACGGAACCTGCTTCAATGGCGAGTCTCGATCCCACATCGCCTGCACGCTCATCTGCGCCAACTCCATCGCAGCCAGCGCGGGTGGCAGCCATCCATTCGAGGAAATCACATCCACACATGCCTGCAATAGCGGAATCACTTGTCTAACAACAAGCGTCTGGTCCGATGCCAAATCTGCAGGAAGCTGTGTACGCGAAAAGTGAGCCTGCAACAAAATGTTGACCTTGTGGTGAGGGTTCGTAAACTTCACATTGCCTAACTTGACGGGCAAACGGTCGTAGATGCGCTTCAGAACCTGGTCCTCGTGATGGCGGATCGGGATCGATTCATACTCTGCTGCCGTCGAGATGATCTCCAAGAGACCCTTCAGCTTTGTCGTTGGCGTCAAGCTGGAGCTGAACAATTCGACAGTCGAGAAGTTGATGTTGTAGTATGCTGCAATCATACCCAGATTCAGTGGTGACACATCCATCTCGTCCTCGATTGCAATACACTTTGATGTCACCAGGTCGTTGATCGTCGTCTCCACCAACTCGGACAGGTGATCCGAAAGGTGACGATGGGTCACACCCTGCAAGTTGTAATAGTTCGGGTTCTGTGCCATGCGTCTGTACAAGAACGTCCATGTAAGATAATCAACCGCATCTTGCTTGTTCTCAATTGTCTTTGTCACAATTTCGGCGTTGAAGTGGTCGTGCAAAAAGTGATCCAGATGCGACTCCACCGGGAGCGCCTCGAACAAGAACTTCTTGTAAAACTCCTTCCTGTTGGACTGGCACATGAGCACACATCGGCTGGACTCGTCCTCATTGGGGCGGCAGGCGCGTCCCATCATCTGTAAAATATCCGGTGTAGGGTAGTCTGCATAGCGATGGTCCTTTCCATCATAGTACTGTGTGCCCATCACAACAACCATGTACGAACTCAAGGGAATGCCCCAGCAGGTGTCTCGTGAAGCAACAACCACCTGAATCGCACCAGACTCAAACAGCGTCTCGACCACTTGCATGTCGCCCTTGCTCAAAGCCTCGTGGTAGAAACCGATTCCATGCGTGAGAGACTCCTGCAAGGCACTGTCCTGGACATGCTCCAAGTGAGTGTTCAATACATCTTGATCACAGTGAAGGAACCTGTCCGGTGTGTCATCTGCAGCACAGAATGTCAACAGGTCTGTGACAGTTAGGCGGCATTGTTTCCGAGAAGGCACAAAGACAATGACGGGCTTCTCGAGCGAATGGGTCGTAATAGCGGTGTAGGTTGGTTTGGCCATCGCGATCATCCAGGATGCAAAGTGGGGGATGGTGTAGCTCTGAATGTGAACATCCAAAGGCAATGGACGGACCATAGGATGGAAGTTGAACACAGAGTGGCTAGTCGCGCCAATCCACTCGCCTAAATCACGAGCATTGGCCAGGGACGTGCTCAGGGCAACGATACGAATCTTGCTCTCGACTTGGGATGCAATGTAACGCATCCTCGAAACAATCACCTCGTAGGTCGGACCGATATCGCCACCAATCAAGTGCAACTCATCTGCAATAAAAAGTTGCACGGTCTGGACGTTCTTGCGCTGCTTCCAGCGGCGAGAGAGGACATCCCACTGACCAGGGGTCGCCAAAATCACATCGCCACGCTCCAATAACTTAAGATCTGCACTGGTCTCCCCAGTGAGCGCCACAATCGTCTTGCCGCCCTGAACGTTTCCGAACTTGGCATGCCACTCCTTGCGACGAGCATCGACAACATCCTGGTGAGGGGCAATGTAGACGATACGACCCTTGGGTGCTCCCTTGACCGGCTTCTTGTTCCACTGGCGCATCATAGCAAACTCGGCGCAAATAGTCTTTCCTGATCCAGTAGGGGCGCCCACAAAGACGTTGTCATCCAGAGTATACAACGTGTTGAAAACCTGCGTCTGGATGGGGTTGAACTTGGTCACAGACTTAGAAAATATCTCCTCAAACTCGCGGTTGCGCAATGCGGTGACAGGCAAAGGCTGAAGATCCAGCAGCTCCGTATGAGGCGGGTACTTCTCGGGCAAGATCAAATGCTTGAACGAGATGGGGAAGCGGGTCTCGGAATGTAGCCACCGGTCAGAGATGATGCTGACAAAGTAATTAGGGGGGAGAGGATCGAACAGCGGCACCGTAAAGGTCATAAGGTGTTCCTCTTCGGCATACTGTTGCTTCAGAATAAAGGACTCTTGGTGCAAAATCATCTCGCCGTCCACGTCCTCGACCAAGATCCAGAACGCCTCTGCTGTTCCATGAACCTTCTCGTCCCACTTGAAGTCCGGCGTGATAGTGAGCTCGACCTTCAGAATAGAACGTGTAAGTGGCTGGACATGAGATTGAAGGTCTAGCTTAGGGAACTCGTGAATGTATCTCTCAAGCAACTTGCCGGCCTTGGGAACGCCAACGAGCTCACCGATCTCCTGAGAGGACAGGTCAAAATAGCGAACCCATTCGAAGTCCTTGCGCTCAATCTTCTTGATCAGTTCCGGGTTGATGGCCTTGAATTGGCGAAGAGGCGTCATAGAGAGCCACTGTCGCTTCTCGACCATCTTACAAAGATCCAACGCCTTACGAGTAAGCTGAGCCCATCCGCGGCGAAGACAGATCTCAAAAATGGCACGCAGAATACGTCCACTGCTCTGGGTCACATATACCATGTCGCTGACGAGCGCGAACCCCTCCAACTTGAGCTGAGAGATGTAAGACTGCAGCAGGACGTTGATCTTGGCAGTCGGCTCCTCGATACTCTCCTTGATGGGTACGGGAACCTGTTCCAACCACTTTTGCAATTCAGCCTTCTCTTCTTCACGGACTGGGATGTACTTGAATTCGTCGCTGAGAGAGAACACTCTGAACAGCTCAATGTGCGACATCATGGGCTTGAGATGCTGGTTGTAGGTCGCCATCGAGTTGTGAGAGATGTAGTAGTGCGAGGCAATGCGTCCGAGCTCTGTACCCTGGAACTTTCCTGTGCGCTTATCGTACTTGATCATGTTGCACTTGTCGATAATAGTCGCTGCAGAGTGGATGATGTCGACGCGCTTCTTTTGCAGATAGGGATCGTCCTCGAGATCGTCGGGTGAGATCCCATACAGAGATGGGTTACGAAGCATGCGGACGTACAGGTATGTGTATCCTAACCATTGAACAGCTTCGTCGCGGTTCTTAATCGTTCCAAGGACGATTTCGGCATTGAGATTATCTGCAAGCTTGGACACGAACTGTGACTCGATGGGGAGCTGCTGATTCAGCAACGAAAGGTAGTACTGAAGTTCGGAATGGGTTGTGATAATAATACCCTCACCGAACTCGTCGAACTGGGGACGACCAGCTCTTCCCAGCATCTGAAGAACATCCTGGGGTGACAGCTCAGCCCAGCGACCCTTCTCCGGGGAATAGACTTGAGTGCCCTTGATAATGACAGTGTGGGCTGGCAAGTTGACACCCCAAGCAAGAGTAGCAGTTGAGCAAAGAACCTTGATGTGGCCAGCCGTGAACAGTTCCTCGACAGCCTCGCGATCCGCACGAGTCATACCGGCATGATGGGTTGCAAAACCATAGGGCAGCAAGTCCTTGAGTGCGGCATCACTAGCTTGCTCTGCTTCTGCCAACAAAATCTCTCTGGCTCCACCGTCGGGTCTGGCAAAATGTGTGATTGTATCGTTCTCCAGTGCCATGTCACGAAGTGTTTGAGCAGTCTTGGCGGTCTCCTTGCGGGAATGGACAAAGATCAGGACTTGGTCACCCTCGGGTTGTACCACATGCTCCATGACCTTTTCGTATGTGACCTCGTTCATGACTTGGAAACGTTTGATGGCCTTCTTTTCTGTAATTCCGATAAACTCCTGCTTGAGCGGGCAGGGTCTCCATGATCCGTCGAAGTGGAACATTCCGCGATTTGTGTCGACGCGAAGGAAAGTGGCGACATCAACATAGTTCGGAAGCGTAGCAGAAAGACCAACAAGGCGGATCAATTCCTGCGACTGCTCCATGTACCGCAAAGAACGAGCGACGATCGACTCCAGTACTGGTCCACGGTCATCGTGCAGCAAATGAATCTCGTCAATGATGATGAGGCGGACGAGGTTGGTGTAGCTTCTGTCGGTTGCCTTTCGTGTGATAATGTCCCACTTCTCAGGCGTCGTGATGATCATCTGTGTCTCCGCGATCTGCTGCTTATTCATTTGTCGATCTCCAGTCAGTTCCTGAACAGAGAGGCCGAATGGCTTCAGGCGCTCGCCAAAGTTTCCGACCATCTCCTGAACCAATGCCTTCATGGGAGCAATATAAACGACCTTGAACGAATCCTTATCAATGGCACCGGTTTTGGGATCGCGGTGCTTATTAATCTCGTTTAACACTGTAAGCATCGCACAATTGGTTTTACCAGCACCAGTTGGGGCGCACAGAAGCATGTTCTCGTCTGAACCATACGCCACATCATACACTGCTGTCTGAATCTGGTTCAATCCGTGCGGAAAGGCGCTTTGAATCCACTCCGGGAGTTCGCTCTTGGGCTTTTTTGGACGATCTCCAGAAGGTTTCTTTGGCTGCGGAACATGTACCTCCTCGTACCCCTTCTTTTGACGACGGAATGATCCCTCAGGAACATGAACACGCTTGTTCGACATCAAATGGGATCCTTGAGCAAATGACATCGCCTCCAAGTCAATGAGTTGGCGAGGGGCCGCGGTGGCTGGAGCAGGTCCCTTTTCCTTGGGGAGAACGGCCATTGGGCCTGCGGCTGTTGGTGCCTGTCCAGTGCCTCGCCGACGGAGGTCTGACTTGGCGCCTGCTTGATTGCCCAATCCCTTGATAATCCAATCCAGACCAAGTTCTCTCATCTTGGCCTCGATCTCTGTGCGTTCTTGCTCATTCGCCTTGCCAAGTCTCGTGCACCAGACGATCACGTCGCGGTTCCTCGTCAGCATGCTGACCAACTCAAACTTGTCATAATCAAACAGCGCCATGAGCTCGTTTTCGCAATCACGCATATTAACAGTCTCTGAGGCGAGAATATCCATCGCAGCGTCCGTCTTCTCCTGCGCCACAATTTCATCCTTGTAAAATGTTGAGATGAAACGTTGCAGCCAGTAGGCGTCGACTTGATGGGGTTGAAGTTTCTTTGTCGTGTCGACCTTGGCTTCTGAGGCCCCAACGCGTACGGCCTCATTCTCGTCCACATCCATCGCGGATTCTTCCTCCTGCTCAACCTGTCCAGCACCAACAACGACATCCTGGGCGGTATCCAGACCCTCCTCGTCCTCATGTTCAGATTCGGAATGCAAGGAATAGACGTCCTCCTCCTCCTCCTCCTCGTCGAATACAACAGCTACTCCGTATTGTTCGTCAATCTCGCCGACCTTTTTGAGCTCACCGTCCTGATCGACAGTTACTTCCTCCGTGCCTGCATTGTAGTCCGTGATCTTCTTGCCGAGATTGACAAGAACAGAAAACTGATCCGAGCTGACAGGGCCAATGATGTCCTCAATCTCCTTCTTCTTGTCGAAATCCTTTAACGTATCCGTGTGCAGGATCTGAAGGACGGTGTCACCAGCGCTCCTAACAACATCGTGTGATACATCGCCGAGGTAACGCTGAACGAACGTCAAGATCAATTCGTATGTGTGTCTCGTCTCCCTGGTCCTGGGTCTGTATCCTCCACTCTCGAGATCCTCTGTCGCGGCCAAGACTGAAGAGTATCCATATGCGCTCCGCAACGACTTTTCCTCGGCTCTCTTTTTACGTCTTTCCAGATTCTTCTCACTGGGCTCGCTCTTTTTCTTCTTCACCTCTTCGATCTTGGACAAGTCCCTTATGGCCCTGCTACCGAACTCCTTGGGGTCGATGCGGCCATATAGGGACTCGGCCTCTCCGGTGGGTTCGTTACCCCGACGTGGGTTATCTGACCGATTTGCATGGAGAACCAAGTTCGAATTGAGCGCGTACTGGTACTGCTGGTCCTTTGCTACTTTGTCAGCCATGATTTAGTGGCAAGATCTAATTATGGAGAGTCGTGTGTGGTTAGTTCTGTTGTTTGATACTCCTGGAGTAGGCCAAATCAAGAGATATCAGGATCAGTAGACGGACCTTCACGACGAGTTAAACAGAAAGTAAAGCCTGAGCTCGAGGAAAGCTGAAGAGTGACCGAACAGCTGGAATCTAGAGGATAAGTGATATCTGTAGCAGTTAGTGTACAGTGAAAGTCAATCACAGCGAAAACAAAACTCGGTCTTCTTGCAAGGCGGCGCCAGACATACCAAATACTAGATGGTAAACAGAAAATAGAAGAAGCGACACTAACGACCGAGATGCTACGACTGGTGGTTTCGTCCCAAAATGCTATTGAAGCGGAGACCGAGCGCTGTCAGTTTTACTGTCCAAGAGATATTAGTGGCGCCATCAGATCAGCCGCAGGTCCTTACAACTCGATCGTGATCTGTTCTTATTTTCCTGATAGAAGCAGTGGTTCGTCGCCTGCCGTACGAGTTTCGAATAGTGGGGGTGAAGGAGTAGGGGGAGAATAGAGATGGTAGAAGTGACAAAGAGGTGTTTGCCTCGATTGACAATGTATGTGAGGGGCAAGAGCACACGTTGGAGCATTAAAAACGCACCAACTACGTCAGCAAAAGGCGACGCCATAGAATTTTTTTGGTGAGCATAAGCAAATACATGCAGTAAAAGAATTTCGGCGTGCAATAACAGAATTATGCAGCTTTAGGATATAAATTACACCTACCGATCATTTTTAAATGTGCTTGCGAACACATATATGGTTGAGATGGGGTTTAGGCACTTCCTGGGGCCTGGCTAGTTGCCGATTCCTGCCCTGATGCCGCATTGGCCGCACGCTTGCGCCTTGGAGCTCCTTCTTGTTCTGCAGCCGCGGTTGATGCTGTCCTCTTTCGGGCCACACTGCCCTTGCTGGCGCTGGTGCTGCTAGTACTACTGGTGCTGCTAGTACTACTGGTGCTATTGGTGCTGCTAGTGCTACTGTTACCATTGATGCTGCTAGTGCTACTGTTACTATTGATGCTGCTGCTACTGGTGCTCGCGCTATCGGTTACTGTCTGTGTAGCTTCCATCCAAGGATATCTACCATTCTCATCTACAGGCTGAAGATAGAGTGGCCTCTGTTGCTGAAGCAAGTGCCCTTGAATAACGTTGCAAATATTGTGGCCCGCCATGATATCGCGGTGCATGTATGTCTTGCAAGTCTTGCAATACAGCCGACGTATTTGAACCTGGCCGACAAACTCCTCGCACATCGGACACTTCTTTGACGTGTAGTACTCATTGACGCCCACGACAATATACCCGAGCGCCCTTGCCTAACGGACACAGAACGTAAGGCGCCTCATTAGCGTCATCAGTAGCTTTTTTTTTTTTTTTTTTTTTTTTAAAAAAAAAAAGAAATCGAATGTCTTGCAATGAAGCACTAACCCTTTGAACAAAGTACGATTGGAAGGACTCATGTAACGAGGAAAGTCGTCTCGTGGATGAAAACTTGCCTAGACCAATGCCGATTACAACCTTGTCCTCTTCATCTCGCTGTCTACCAAGCGATCCTCCAACCATATTGAGCAGGCGATCTGCGATGATGTCGAATTCTGCCTCTCTAGCTTTTCTGGCATCCCACCGGTGCTTTTTGAATGTGGCGCTTTTGTTGTAGAACTCGTCGAGCTGCTCCTTGACGCCTGCTAATCCCGCGACGTACTTTTCAACGCTGGCATCCTTTCCGCGAAGGGCTGGTAGCTCGCTTTCGATGTTGCTGATAGATTTTGCTGCGCCTAGCGGGATCGACCGTTTGCGTTCTTCTAACCAACGTCGAAACTTGAATGTTGGTTGGTATACGGCCTTCTGCTTTACAGCTAGGTTGTAAAAGACCTGGGAGCTGCGGGCGGAAGCCTCGGTGTCATTGTCATTGTCAGGTTGTTCGGTACCGACGGCACTGTTCTGTTGATGGAAGCTCTCCTTGGATCTCGGCATACTCGCTCCTGTAACACATGCTTGCTCTGGATTATAACTGCCGTTGCGTGGCTTTCCATTTTCGAGGCTGACGGATTTTTTCATGTCATCTAAGGTCTTCTCAGGCAATAGAGCGCTCGCTCCAACCACAAACGCTTGACCAAGATCGAGACCTAATATCTTGATTTTCTCTGGTTCACAGTCCCAAAGAACTGCGACATCCTGCTTCGTCTTGACAACGTTCCGAACCTCAGTTAGGTAGTAGTCGACTCCACCCACAGTGGACGTAATCCGAGAAGGCAATATGTCCGTGGGATGCCGCCTGTACCGAACCGAGAGAAGCTCCTTCAGCTTGAATGCCGTTAACTGGAGACGAAAGCCATCGGTCCGAATAGATCCGCGAATAACGTAACCGCGTTCCTTATAAGTGCGGGGGTCGAAATCCTCGTTCTGAATGATTCTCAGGTGCTCTTTGATCTCTGCAAGTGAAGGTGTCGCGAGGTTGTTGAATGATTTGCTGATTCCGGGCATGCGACGCTTTTTATGACCCAGTCCTACGTCGGTGATGAGTGTCGTGAGGAGGTAGCCTGGTGCTTGGTTGGCCAGCCAGTACGACATGTCAGACAACGCAGGACGATAGTCCTTGGCTCCATGAAGACTCTGCAGCTTCGCCTTGAGTGTGTCGCTCTTCCAAAAGATTGAAATCAATTCCAGTTCCGTGAACGCGACGAACGGCTGCGCGGAAGGCGTACACGCCATTAACTTCCGAGGGTTCTTGGTCAGCGGGTTCAGACGGTAAAAGTTCTCGACCGCAGAGACGTCGCCACGAATGTCAATGCATGTCCCAGCCGGCAAGAGCCCTTTGACCAGTTGTTTCTTGAGCTGTTTTAAAGTTT